CCTTTGATCATTCTCTGTGGAAGCTCCCATGCGTGTTTCTTCTTTAATCCTTAACTAGATTGTTTGCCATTGGCTTTGAGTAGAATCCAGTTGTTGACTAATAGGACTTTCATGGACTCTGTTAAATTCTGCATTGGTTGCTGATTTGCAGTTCTAGTTTGCAACTTATTTACGTAGTTTAGTCACTATATCATCTGATATTCCAACAGTTAGCAGGAGTTCCCTGTTGGATTAAATATTAGATTAAAATGTGTAAACCGGTCAGGTGCAGCAGCTCACACCTGTAATTCCAGCACTTTGGGAGGCCGAGGCAGAAGGATTACTTGAGCCTAGGAGTTCAATACCAGCCTGGGCAACATAGTGAGACCTGTCTCTACACACACAAAAAAAGTCAATAAACGAGGTGGCAGGATTGCTTGAGCCTAGGAGGTCGAGGCTGCAGTAAGCTGTGATCGTGCCACTGCACTCCCATCTGGGGGACAGAATGAGACCCTGCCTTAAAAAAAAAAAAAGGTGTTAACATAGTAGATGTCCAATTAATGGGAAAGGCCTCTCTTTCACTTTCCCTGTAAAATGCAAACAAAATGGTATGTTCATTTGCATTTTATACCTTTGCCTAGAATACTCCATCCTTGGGACAGGTCAGTTCACTAAGGAATATTTTCACATAATGACTACTTCTGCTTCTCTATAAAAACATCTCCAGAGCTCATAACTTGGAGCCCTTGGGAAAAGAGAACCTCAGAGTGGAAGTGGCTGGAGGCCTAGGGTAGTTGATACTGTCATCGGGGCCAGCTAACAGAGACCTGAATCATATAATATGGTATTCAATAGGTGGGTCAAAGGAGCCTGTTAGATTGAATTAACAGACTTATGCTGGAGATGTAAACTGGAATAAGGATCTCAGGAGAGAAGGAACTTAAGGTGGAAGTGGGAAAGTGGAATGGATGGTTAGGTAGGTTTTTTATCCTCTGAGATGTGATCTTAGTGGCTTCTTTACCCTCCACAAGAGGGTAAAGCATCCCTCCCACTGGCACTTTAGAAAAATCTTTTTAGTTTTAAAGGCTTTCGTTCCTGTTCACAAGTCAATGCCCTTTACGGGGCTGACGTGTTGCGCTGCTAAGTCACCCACCCCAGTGTTGGGAAGATTTGATAGAGGAGTTTGGAGGAAAGTGGGAAGGAATGACTGCTTAGGAGAGGAGAGAGGCTGGCAGTGAAGTGCAGCCCAGGGCACTGGCCTGACAGCCCTAAGGGACCCCTGGGTGTGTTTGAGGCTTACATAGTTCAGATTTCTGCATGCCTGGACACGCTCTCCACATGCTTTTCCTGAGGCCGTGTGTTCTGCTTCTTCAAGAGAGTAAGCCTCCGGCCTGGTCAGGCCCACTTCCACCTCACTGGCTGCAGTGGGTCAGGCCTGGGCTTTGGCTTCAGCTGCCTCTGGGTTCCCATTCCTTGTCTTCTCCCCATCCTCCACATCTGCCACTTTCCCAAGCCTCGTCTTTTCTCCAGCTGTCCTCGACTATCCCTCCATTTCTTTCTACCGTGGCCTTAAGTCTTTGCGTCATGGGTGTTCAGCATTTGCAGACATTTAGCTTTGCCTCATGTCATATTTACTGTTGGTTTATTGTCATGCGTGTGTATGTGTTCTCCCTAACTTAGCATCTCTCAAAGTGTGTCCCATGAAATCACGTGATCAGATTAAATGCAAAACAAGTTTATAAACAAAGGGTAGGAAATGGTGGTTTTAGCAAAGGTGAAAAGCCCTATTAAACCATTGGCCACTGCAGAGCTTTAATTCACACATGTAGATCCTGAGTCCCTATGAAGAGCTTCTCAGTGTTATTTACTTGTGCAAGAACCTGTTTTTCATCTTGTGGTAGGTAGTATTCTGCAGGACACAGTTTCCTGAAGGGCTGCTGGAATTCACTTAGGCTCTGGAAGGGTAGAAAGCACATTGTCCTTCACTGTGGGATCTCCGTGTTAGCTGAGGACAGTGCTAGGCAGGGCGTAAGTCATTCCTGAGTAAGCTCTTAGGACAGTTGCTTTTTGTTTTTTTTTTAAACCTTTTAATTGTGAAATTCATATAAAATTCACCATTGTAATCATTTTAAAGCATGAAATTCAGTGGCATTTAATATGTTCACACTGTTGTGCAATCTTCACCACCATCTAGTTCCAGAACGTTTCCATCACCCAAAAGGAAGCCCTGTACCCATTGAGCAGTCACTCCTCATTTGCCCCCTCCCTGCTGCCCTTGGCAACCACTAGTCTGCTTTCTGTCTCAATGGATTTGCCTCTTCTGGACATGTAATGGAATCATACAGTATGCGGTGTTTTGTGCCTGGCTCCTTTCTTTAGTAAAGTTTTGATATAGATGCAACGTCTTAGACCTGAGTGATGCCTCTGCTCCTCCAGAGCAACTCTTTATCATTGGTCAAACCCCATAAATATATAAGTAACCAAAAGCAGCCATTCATCTGGAAACCTCCAAGTTGCGTGGCCAGGTTAAAAATTCTGTGGAATATTGGTTGCCGTTACCATGATTTGACCTGAGACTTCCGGAAGCTGGCTGAACTGTGCTGGAGTGAGCCGGGTCTTCAGCCCTTTCCCGGAGGTCAGAGGTGCCTGAGCTGTTGACATAATTGGCTCATTCCTCTTGCTCACCTTTTTTCTAGTCGGAGGTCTCAGCATTTCAGACTACTCATTGTTTAATAACTGTAGAACATTCTAGAGTGGGCTGAATCCTGCGGGGGCATCCTGGAGGAAAGGTTGCACCACCTGCGGCACCACACAACCTCCATTGGCCCTTCAGGCATATTCCGTGAGCCTGAAAGCTCCTGCAAAGTTGGATGTCCCAGGGCCCTCTATCTCATATCTTGGAATTCCCAAGGGGTGGGGTATCTCTCATCCACTATAAAGACAGCTGCTGGCTGCCCTGTACTCAGCAGTGGTGACCTCTCACCTGCCTTATGAACTTGTGCAACCCCTTTCCTATTGTTTCATTGAATTGTCAAGGATCTCTCATTTTTGGCCTGCACCCTTTGCCCTCCACTTGTTGCTGTCTCTGGAGTCCAAGAATACCACTGCTGAAGAGGTTACCTGCCTGCCTGAAATAACTTCTTTCAGTACACCATCTTCTGCCTAAGAACCTGTAATACTGTCTTGGTATCCAGACTCCATCCTGATTTTTGAGCCCTTCTCTTTCCTTCTCAGTGTAGACAGTAACCCTTCCTACTCATCAGACTGGATGCATTCTTTTCCCCCCTCTATATCATCTCTTAGCAACTCCTCCCCAGGCTTGGAACTGACTTCCCTCTCTCATTTTGCCCTGGTCAGTCTAACTCTTCCTTCGAAGCTCTCTTGAGGCTCAGCAGCTGCACAAAGCCTCCTCAGACATTCTAGCAACTCTTGCTGCCTGCACCAAACTCATGTTACACTTGAATACCACAGGATTTAGAGCTGGAAACTTTTTTTTCTAAGGATTTTATCTCTTAGACTTCCCCTGTCAGATGGTCAGCTCTCAGAGGAAGGGAGGATAAAGTAAGCAAGTGGAGTGGGAAGGCACTGGATTGTGAATCCAAGGGCCTGGAGACCTCCGGGTGTGCTACATACTGGCTGTGTGTTGGAAAAGCCACTTATCTTGGATTTCTGTTCTTAATCTGTAAAACAACCAGGGGACAAGGTGGGCGTATTAGTTTCCTATTTGCTGCTGTAACAAGTTTCTACAAACTTAGTGGCTTAAAGCAACACAAATATTTTCTCTTACAGTTCTGGAGGTCAGAAGTTCCAAACAGGTCTTCAGGGCTACATTCTTTCTGGAAGCTTGAGGGGAGAATCCATTTTTCATCTTTGTCAGCTTCTAGAGGCCATCCTCATTTCTTGATTAATGGCCCCCTCCTCCACCTTCAGAGTACATCAGCCTCTGCTTCTGTCATCACATCTGTTCTCCGTCTTTCTCATGCTTCCCTGCTTCCCTTATGAGGACCTTGGTGATTGCTCTGGACCAACCCAGATAATTCAGGGAATCTGTCCATCTCAAACTCAATCACATCTGCAAAGTCTCTGGCTGTGTCAGGTAACTTATGCACAGGTTCTGGAGATTAGGACATAGATATCTTGGGGACCATATTCTGTCTACAGTGTGTTCTTAGGTCTCTTGTGTTTCTAACTTGTCATGAATCTAAAGATGTATTTCTTCCACTTATTTAAGAGCTTAGCACACACAGTGCTAGGCTTATCAACTTCTTGATAAGTAATGTTTATCCCTGAGGATTTCCTCTTCTCAGATTGTTATTAGGGATTCTAGGGCCTGGTACCACTCAATGATAGAACTGTGAGCACAGACCTTAGGGTTGTTCTGGTTTGACTGCACTTTCACACACAGAAATTTGACACTGCTTATCTACCCATCTTTGATTTTGTGCTTTGCAAATTTTGAAAAGACCTCAAAGAATTTTATCTGTTTCCCAGTAACCACGGGTAGCCTTTAAACAGCCTGTTAATTACACTGGTGATTTCTGTGGTCTCTGCATAGAGTCCGGGATGTGTTTCCAGATCCTCTTACGTAAGTTGAAGTAGACATGTTGTTGAAGTCTAGAAGCCAAACAATCTTGGATACTAACCTAGCTAGTCTTGTCCGTAATTGCTACTTAGTGTTAAATTTATGGTATTTCACAGCAATTTAGATTGGCATTTATATGGGAATTGTGCTGTTTTCTTTCCCTAGATCCTATTGGGCAGTTTCCACCTTGGATCACCATCACTTAAAAGGCAGTAAAGAAGCATGCATAATATACATTTATAATGGCTCTATTGTGTTCTCCCCAGTGCTCAGCTCATTGTGCTGAAATAAAATTCCCTTTGGGTTGAAAAACCGTCCCCACTCTTAAAATTTTAAGTTTTGACATTACTTTTGGCTATAGTATCTGAGAAATACACAGTATGAGTCAAGCAAACATGTAGCTTGCCTGCTGAAGTTTTCTTTCCATTTTATTTCCTAGATGCACCCACTGGGCCTATGTAATAACAATGACGAAGAGGACTTGTATGAATATGGCTGGGTAGGAGTGGTGAAGCTGGAACAGCCAGAATTGGACCCGAAACCATGCCTCACTGTCCTAGGCAAGGTAAGCACCAGGCCCTTGGAATCACTGTGTTTCTGGTTGGTGTTTTCTGCTCTTCCATTTCAGCATTCCTCAGATAGTTGATTATGGAGAAAAGCCATGCTGGCACAGTGCTTCTTCCCAGCTGAAGTTGTCTAAGGTGGGGACTGAGACATGCCTTATAGTGGCCCACCAGTGTTTACAAGCCCAGACTCAGAGAGACTGCCAGTCTCAGAGTGGGCTCTAGCCTCTTGTCCACCATGTGGCCTTGGGCAAGTTTCTTCACTCAAGGAGTCTTAGTTTCTTATCTGTGAAATGGGCTAATAATAGAGATTCACAATACTTTATCTTACACCCTTGGGGCAAGATGTTTCAGAATTCTGAGATTTGGGGGGTTTAGAAAGGCATTAAGGGGTATAGATTTTATATTAAGTAACCTCCAAGAGATCTAGGGAAGCACTCAGTAACCAAACACATTCACATTTGTATAGCAAACCATAGGGATCTTCACATTAAGTGGGATAACTAAAATCTAAATAACCTAATGTTAGTTCACGGCAGCTTTGCCTCCAGATGAGTTTCAGGTCCATTAAGTTTTGCTGCCAAGTAAGTTATGGGAAAATGTTTGGGTTTTAGAGCTTTTTTTGGTTTCAGAATGGCAGACAGCAATTATGGTCCTGTATTAGAACTTACCTCATAGGTGGTTAGGAGGTGAGATGAGATGCAAACGCCTCACACAAAAGTAAGCCCTCAATAAACGTTTGCTGCCATTGGCTACCATCACTCCATTTAGAAGTACTAAAAAAGACATTTTAGCCAAGAGGGTCAGCATTACTTTGACTGCAGTATAAGATAGAAATAAATTTACTTTGGAAAGGCACTCATCAACAATCTTAAAATATGACAGGTAACAACCTGTTTTAAACTGGATTTTGTTTAAACTGCATCATTTTGTTAAAAAGAAAGGTTTAGAGAAGGTGATTTGAAGTTTGGTTGGGAGAAAGGTGGTCTCTCCTAAGGATAGTGGTACTGACTGGGTATCTGTTATATTCTCAAAAGCTGCCATTCTAGGTACCATGGGGAGAGAGCTGGGGCAAAAAAACTGTCCTGGTTCCTAATCTCTTGAGGCTCTCTTTGAGAAATCCAGGAGAGAGAAGGGGTAGTTTTGAAGCAGGGTGCTAGAGAGGGGAGACTTTCCAGACTTAAAGTAGTCCCTGCCATTGTCTCTTGAAAGACCTTTGGCCCCAGGCACAGGTCTAATCTATTTGTGGTTTTTGCATCCCTCTTGTCTTCTGAATAACTTCAAGTCACTTGTCAAGTTTTCCTGCCCTTTAGTTGGAAAAAAGAACCCCACAGGAATTATTAGCTGTTTGCTTTACAGTTCACAAAGTTGAATCGAGGTGTTTTAGGTGGCTCAGGCCCTGATACTTCATCGTTTAAATAATTGGCCAGAGCTGCTTAGTGGTGGTAGGAGAGCAATGACCCCCTTGAGGATATTTTAGTGTTTTCCTAGGAGAAATGCCAGCTACATCTACAGGGTAGGAACAGTGCTTTCCTTGTAGGCATTACGCTCCTATTATAACATTTTCTCCTGTACTTTAACTGCTGTTATGCAGGAATCGGCTCCTTGGCTTCATTTGCTTTGCCCCAGTCTGGTGGGGCTCCATCTTTTTGTCTCTCGCATCTATAAATGGGTTGGAACAGGGATCACAGGGTCATCCTGTAGTTCTCCCATGGTTTAGTGGTGGGGAAACTTGCTGAAGTCACTTGGAGAACCCAACTATTTCCTCCTCTGCCTGGAACAACCATGTAGTGGTTTTACTTGGAGAGTTTTGTATGATTTGGCCTGCTGGCCTGTGATGCCAGGGGGAATAAAAAACCCTAGGCATATATTGAATCATTAAGTGCTTCTTAAGTTGATTCATTCTCCAAATATTTATTGGATGCAGGGGCCCAGAAGCTGAGCATGTGGTTCTACCTGCTTGCAAGCAGCAGCCCCCACGTTTCTCTGGAAAGGCTGATGGCGGGCAGCATTTGCACATGGTTAGTCATTGCAGTTTGGCTTTGAGTTTACACCTGAATAAAATCATTAGCACAAAGCTTGGGCCAAAGAAAGACAGTTTTGCATTTGTTTAAAGCCTGGGCCGGTGCGGGAGGTGCGATGAGTCAAGATCTCTGTCTCTTCCTCTCTTGCTCTCCTGCCTCCCCTCTCTCTTTCTCTCATCATCTTCTTAAAGTGTGGTTGTTCTCAGTCTCAATTTCATTAACTTTGACAACTGCGTTTTCTTGTTTTCTGAGCCCCCAGGGACTGGTAGCAAAAAAATAGGTTAAAGGAAGGCAAAGTGATTCCAGCAGCTTAGTCCCTGCAGAATTCATGATTTTCCATCCATTTCTTGGCTCTGAAAAAGCGGGCAGTGGACAGAGGCAGAAAAGGCATAGGAGGAAAACAGCCAAGCTAGCTTGAGGGTGGGGGCTCCTTCCTGTGGATGTTGAAACTTGTTGAAAACCCACGAAGGGAGGACTCTGTCTGCTGCAGGCGGGCCAGGCATTCGGAAAAGCCTGTGGGGGAAGAGGGGTGGCCTAGACACAGGCTAACCCCCTCCCCAGCACCCACCCTCTTCACCCACCCACCCACTCACAGACAATGCCACAGGGCGAAACCTTGAAATAAGAGAGGAATGTCCTAAATTAAAACATGTAAATGCCTCTCCAAGAGTTCAAATAAAATTTCATTTTAAAAGCAAAAGACATAAACTTGTCACCTCGGTTTATTACTGAGTGCTTTTGAACTTCTCAGAAAAGAACGCTCTAAACTCATGAGAGAAATATGATTTATGATCCCCTCCTTCTCTTCTTTTCCATTCTGTGGGAGGAGGTACAGACAGGATCAGCTAGGGAGGCAGAGTTGGGATGAGGGCAAGCCCCCACGGGGGAGCAGCAGGCCAGGGCGCCAGGCCAGACCCTGCCTCAGACCAGGCATGGACACATCTCTCCAGCTTTCTGAGCCTCTCTCTTGTACTTAATGTGAAGAGGCTGTTCTGGGTTCCTTGTTCTTCTAATATTTTGAGCTTCTGTATCATATTTAAAATCTTTCTTTGATATTCTAGTTTGGAGAGATTCTACTTACAGCATTGAAAGACAGACTCTGTTACCTGTGACAGTTTAAGTCCTAAAAAGTTAAAATAGAATAAAATTGACATTTCTTAGAGTTTGCTATTAAGTAAGGGTGTTGGCCAGGCATGGTTGCTCACACTTGTAATCCCAGCACTTTGGGAGGCTGTGGCGGGCAGATCACTTGAGGCCAGGAGTTTGAGACCAGCCTGGCCAATATGGCAAAATCCCGTCTCTATTAAAAAAACAAAATTAGCTGGGAGTGGTAGTGCGAACCTGTAGTTCCATCTACTTGGGAGGCTGAGGCAGGAGAATCGCTGGAGGTGGAGGTTGGAGTGTGCTGTGATTGTGCCACTGTACTCTAGGCTGGGCGACAGAGGAAGACCCTGTCTCCAATCAATCAATCAATCAGTCAATCAATGTAAGGGTCTTAAACCATCGCCAAATCACAGGAGTCTATGTTTATGTCCCGGGCATTTTAACCCTCCAATTCAATCAGTGTTTATTAAGCATCTTATAGAGCTCCTAAGAATTTTGAAGGTTGACTTTAATAGCTTCACCTGTGGAGAGTCTCATGGCCGGGAACATGAGAGGTGCTGGTGTTTCTAGCAAAGCCTGGTTTGCCCTGACTCTGTAACTCATGGCGGAATAAATGCCCCATAACCACCACCCCATGTTAGAGAAGATTCTTAGGGAGAGGTTTGGAAAACAGCATGGGCCAGGCATGGTGGCTCATGCCTGTAATCCTAGCACTGTGGGAGACTGAGGTGCGCTGATTGCATGAGCTCAGGGATTTGAGACCAACCTGGGCAACATGGCAAAATACCATCTCTACAAACAACACAAAAATTAGCCAGTCATGGTGGTGCATGCCTGTGGTTTCAGCTACTTGGGAGGCTGAGGTGGGAGGATTGCTTGAGCCCAAGAGGTCAAGGCTGCGGTGAGCTGAGATTGTGCCACTGCCCTCCAGCCTGGCCAACAGAGAGACCTTCTCTCTCCCAAAAAAAAAAAAAAAAAAAAGAGAGAGAAAAAGAAAAACAACATGATCAACAGGCATGGTTTTAGCTCTCTCCAAGGCTTAAGAGTACAATGTGGGGAAATTAAGAAAAGGACAAGAAAGGGAATGTCATATTACAGAGACCCAGCCTTGACTGACTGACCTCGGAAAAGGTACTTCATTTCTCGGTGCATTCTTCTCTGTGCAGCAGGGCTGATGCTGCCTTTGTCATTGTAGTGGGGGGTCTACGAGATATTTATGGAGCACTTAGCTCAGAGCCTGGCTTATGGGAAATGTTGGATGACCATGTAGAAGTCAGCCATCAGGTATTGGGTGCTCGCCGAGTGCTGAGAGCTTTACCTATGGTGTCTCCTTTAATTGTTAAGGCTAATTTGAGATCCAATCCAGATTCCCATTTTACCATGAGCAAATCGAGTCCTAGAGAGTTCTCTACATAACCTGAGATTGAATAGCTCAGAAGAGCCAAGATCTGAAATAAGACCCTTCTGCTTCTCTTTGCAGATCTGAAATAAGACCCTTTCTTCTGGCCAGGCGTGGTGGCTCACACCTGTAATCCCAGCACTTTGGGAGGCCGAGGTGGGAGGATCACAAGGTCAGGAGATCGAGATTATCCTGGCTAGCACAGTGAAATCCCATCTCTACTAAAAATACCCAAAATTAGCCGGGTGTGGTGGCAGGCGTCTGTAGTCCCAGCTACTCGGGAGGCTGAGGCAGGGGAATGGCATGAACCCACAAGGCAGAGCTTGCAGTGAGTTGAGATCATGCCACTGCACTCCAGCCTGGGCAACAGAGCGAGACTCTGTCAGAAAACAAAAAAACAACCCTTTCTTCTCTTTGCCTCCTTTTGTCTTTGCCAGTTTTTCTAGATAAGAATCAGATACTCACCTGGGCATGG